CATTAGAAATAACTTATTAGATATATAATTAGATATAAGAGGTTTTTTTAAATGCCAAAATGTGAGTTCTCTGAGTCCTTGTATAAGGCAGTGACAGAAAATGCTTTAGGGAAAAAAGGGACATTTGTAGTAATCTGTAGGAATTTTCCAGCAGTGTTTCCTAAGTAATACTTCCTTTTAGTGTTAGTTTCTTATCCGCCCCTTGTTCGTCCAGTTTCCACCAGTCTCCTGTGCTCCTTCATAATAACCGACAGCTTCCTGCCTCTCTGTCTTTCCCGCTGTCTTCTCTTCCTGTGTATAATATAATCTCCTGATTATTTCCACAAAACCCAAAACCAGGTCAGGCATTTCCATTTATAGTTATTGCCTGTGCGCACTTCCGTGTATTTTTCTGGAAAGAGGATGAGGTGTTAGATGAATTCTAATGAGCAGGGGTAGGTGAGACAGTGAAGAGAATTTGTATTTATGAGGGTGTGAGCTTCACCATGTAAACCTCTGAATTATTCCTTTGGATGGCAGTGTTACTAACAGGTGCCCCAAGTCCTTCGATTGTTCCCTTTTAGAAGTGTTCTTTAGGAGGAATGTGGAAAGGGATTGGAATAAATAAGAAATAGGATGGCAATATTTTCTATAATACTGATCTTGCTCAAAATCAGGTCACAGTCAAAATTGCTAATTTTCTCATCCCAATGCAAGAGCTTTTGGTACTTCAGAGGTCAGAGTAGATTTTCCCAAGTCATTTTGGGGTTAATGCTTATATGAATCTTGAGATCAGTTTGATACCAAATCTCAAGACAATAATCTCTGGTTGATTTTTATTCTATTCTTAAAAAGAAAAAAAAGTTGTGGGTGCAAAAGAAGATTTCTGATTGATATTCAGGAATGATTCTACATTGCTTGATTATATGAATAAACTTTGTAGATTATTGGAAATGCCTTGCTATATTCAATTTCCTTTATCATTTTAGACACTCCAAACTTTTCTGTAAAGCCTTTGGAAGTTTGGGGGTCAAGGGAAGGCCATAATAAAAATCGTAATAAAAATTGTACATAGAATGTCTGTGTGAAACAGAGAAAAATGATTTTTTAAGATTAACTATTATACAATAAATAATTACCAAGTGGACCCTACTACCTACTGGTATGTAATACGATTTGATGTTGTGGAGTAGTAGCAGTAGAAGATGGAGCATGAAATTACCATTTATGAGACATCAATCAGGCCCTTCTTCTGCATGTTTTCCATGCTTTCCACTGAATTTCAAATAAAGAAAAAAATTGTCCTGATTCTAGCGAGCCTTATAGAAATGAATGCAAAATGTCTCTGGATAGGTTCTTACTGACTTAGGACTCGATGGCATCGTCATTTCTTTCTCAGTGTCTCACTAGATGTTTTAGAGGTGTCTTCAGTGATCCTAAATATCCCAAATGATGATTTGGGAATCTTGAGCATGTAGACTATTTGAAGACATGATCTCGTGTATTGCATACCATGTTCCTGGGGCTTAAACAGTGTCTGACACAAGTGCTCAGTAGCTTTCTGTTGAGTTGAATTGACAATTTAATGTTGGGAAAAGAAGTTTGTCTCTGGATTCAGATCAGTGGTGGTTAGGAGCCTGGCTCTGCCACTGGGCAACCTGGGACAGGTTACTCCACATCCCAGAGCTCCAGCTTTCTCTTGTGTAAGTTACTGTCTGGAACTACATGTGTGAAAAACTAAGCACAGAGCTGGGGACGTACTGAGTGCTTAGTGAATGATTGTTCCCTTATTAACTCACGTCTCTCCTATCATTTTTCTCTTGGAATGTTCTATTTTTCAAAATGCAATTGATTCAAAAAGAAGCATTTTCAGAGAAAACCATTATTTCTATATGGAGTACCTAGACGCAAAATTCCTGGGCAGAGGAGCTAACTCCTTCCTGTATTTACTAGCTTTCCTGACCCTAAATCAACCAGTCACTTCCACAGAGGATTGCTACAGACACAAACAGGGCGAACACCACCCTCTAGGTTCCCACCAGCCTTCATTATTTCCTCCAACCCGCACAGTCATTATTTTCCAGCAGGCAGGAAAGTTTGTGTTCAGTTGTGTTTTCATTTGTTTCAGTTTATTTTCCACTTGTCAAGTAGATGGGTGTATGGACCTCTTCAATATCTGAGATGACCCAAGGAGCCGAAAATGCAGAATTTTTTTCTCCCTTGACATTTCATGGTTGATATATTAATTCCTCTGAAAGCTGATTTCTAAGCATTCTCATCTTTGAGGTTGATTACAAGTTCTCGCTGTCATTCAGTTGTTGTGGTGTGCCTTAAATCCCTCATTTATTTTGTGACTATTATAATCAATTATTGATCATGGATGGTATATCCGTGTATTCTAGTGCTGTGAAGGATAAGTAAAGTGAGAAGGAAAGTTGAGGGTACAGGCTCTGTTCTCAGGGAGAAAAGAAATATAAAGTGAATTAAAAATGTATTATATGTATAAAAATATTTTATATATAAAATGGCTTACATAAATAAAGATATTAAATAAGAGGTTATTATGATTATTGGGTTTGTTAAACTGGAGAGATAATTCTTGTGTATACTAGACAACTAGGAAAATTATTTGGGAATATTTACATGTGCATGGCAGTACAGTAATTTATATATATATATATATATATATATATATATATATATATATATCCTCACCCAGGGATATGTTTATTGATCTTGAGAGAGTGAAGTATTGATTGGTTTCCTCTCGTACATGCCCTGACCAAGGATCAAACCCACAACATTTGGTGTACGGGGTGATGCTCCAACTAACTGAGCCACCTGGCCAGGTCAGTATGTATATTTTTTAAAGTGCAAGAAATGTCATAGTCTCCTAACATCATAGGCTGTCCAGCAAAGAGGAAGTTACCAAAAAGGGCTAGAAGAAACTAGTGAGTATAAATAGCTGGTGCCCTCCCATGAGAGCCCAGAGATGAAAATCACCATCTGGGTGGAAAATTCCATTCCAACATGGGCCTGCAGTCCTGTCCAAGGAAACTGATCGGAGGGAGTTAGGATGCAGGGGCGGGAACTCTGAGCTAGGGGTGGTTCTCTGTGAGGCATGTGACAGAGTCATAGGTCCTTCTGGGTTAAAGGTGTCTTGGATGGAATGACCTTGACTATAAGATATGCTGGGAACATGGAAGAAAGAAGGGCAGGACTGAGGCTGGCTGGAGTCAGCACTAAAGGAAATTAACTGGGAAAGAGGGTGAACTGCCCTGCCTCAAGAAATGGACTAGAAGTCTAAATCATGAGGTCTAAGAAGGCACATAAAACTCAAAAATATTAAAAATATGAAATACTTAAAAATATTTAAGTATTTCCCTAAATACCAAAAAGTCATTTGTTAAAAATATGCAGTCACCCCTACCCCAGAGGTCCTGAATCAGAACCTGTGGGACAAAGGCTTGGGACTCTGCATCTTTAACAAGTGTACCTGATGACTTTTTATGACTAAGTTTTGGAAACACTGCCTTAGTCTAACCCTGTCTGGTGCCAGAATTCAAGTTCTCTGGCACAAGAGGTTTGCAGGACAAGGCTAGGAAGCAGGGCTTTTCGATCAGAGGGGTCGAGTAAATAGTGTATCAGGAGCCCTTCACCCTCTTCAGTTCCTCAGGGTCACGGTCAGTATAATTATGGGCCAGGTGTCCCAAAGGAAAGGAGGCTCTCGAAGGGCTTGAATAGTGCTATTAAGCATGGGGGACCCTCCCACAAGGAGGCTTAGTCCCCTGAAGCATTGGGGGAGGCTCTGAGGAGGACAGTACTCTGAGGTGAGGCTAGAGCAGACAGACAGGTGGAAGTGGGCATGAGGTGTAAGGAAATGATTACGGGGCCAAGAGGAGGGACCGTTAGACCGGGAAGCAATGTATTTTGACTTTGACCATTTCTACAGAGTGAGTTTGTGTCCCCCCATATCCATATGTTGAAACCTAATCCCCAATGTGATGGTGTTGAGAAGCCTTTGGGAAGTGATTAGATTATGAAGGTGGAGCCCTCATAATGGGCTTGGTGCCCTTTGAAGGGGCCGACGAGGTCAGAGTTCTCTCCTTCCACCCTGTGAGGACACAGCGAAAACAAGCCTCTGTGAACTAGGAAAGGGGCTCTCACCAGACACTGAATCTGCTGGCACCTCGATCTGGGGTTCTTTTTCTAGCCTCCAGAACTTTTAGAAAGAAATTTCTGTTGTTTATGAGCCACCCAGTCTATGATTCTGTTGTAATAGCCTGAGTGGACTAAGACAATCATAGAATGAATAACAGAATCTACAGCTTTTTTTGTTCCTTTGGATATATTCCTGGAAGTGGGATTGCTGGGTCAAAAGGCAGATCCATTTCTAATTTTTTGAGTTATCACCATACTGCTTCCCACAGTGGCTGCACCAATGCACCCATATTCACACGGCATTATTTACAATCACCAAGATATGGAAGCAGCCAAGGTGCCCATCAGCAGACAAGTGGATGAAACAAGTGTGGGACATTTACACAATGGAACACTACTTGGCCATAAAAAAGGAAGTTTTACCCTTTGTGACAGTATGGATGGACCTGGAGAACATGATGCTCAGTGAAATAAGCCAGTCAGAGGAAGACAAATGATTGTCTTCCATATGATTTCACTTCCAATATGTCTTTCATATTGTCTACCATATGATTTCACTCCTACCTGTAATCTAATGAACAAACTATACTAACCAGCAAAATAGACAGACTTTATCATAGATAGAGACCAAGAGGTGGGGAGGGGAGGGAGTGGAAGGACTGAGCAAAAAGGAAAAAGGGTTCATGGACATGGACAACAGTGTGGTGATTGTGTGTGGGGGGTGGCATAAGGGGACTAAATGGTAATGGAAAACATATATTAAAATATGAACAAAAGAAATTACACCTCCTTTTAAAAATTCAAATAATAGTTTGGTGTATCCTTCTAAATTCTGATACATTTGTTTCCTCTCTCAACAGGAGCCTCCCATTGTTCTTCTCATGGCCAAAAGAAAAGATAGACCTTCTGGTTCACTGTTCTTTACACCGATACTACAGGTTCCATCATTATATTTTGTATCCTAGGCTGCTCTTTTAGAATCAGTAAATCAATATTTGAGTAAAATTTATTTAATGATTTAGAAGAATTAACTCTTTTCATCTTTAAGGGTCCTCTCTGCCAGTCACTCTCCTACCTGTTGCTTATAATCACACCAATACCACCTCTTTCACGAACCCTCACTGGCTCCTCTGTCCGTTTATGACTTCCTTATCCTTTGAAACCCCATGGAATGCTGGTTTATAAGTTCTTTATGGCACTCAATTAATTCTTCTTACTCTTTGACAACACTTAATTTACCTTCCTGTGGAATTTATTTATGACCTTTCTGTTCCACAAAGGGAATAGAAGAAAATATAAAATAAATGAGAAGATAGTAATGAGAGGAAAATAATTATAGCACGGTAAGATGAAGCCGGCTGTCATGAGCATGTACTGGGTATTTGCCATGTCCCACTTGCTAGATGGTCCCTGCTCTTCTGGAATGCAGAAGTGAGTGGGGACATGGCTGTGGCTTACGGACCACCCCAAATCTAGGAAGCCACTTCAGACCATCACTAGAGATTTGATATTAATAATTTTCCCCCTACCTATCCATCTTCTTACTAATTCACTCCTCACTATTGTTTGCTGCTGGAAAATAGACTACAGTGTTTTATCAACTGTGCTAATACTAAAGGACTTTCTAACTCAGTTGGTACCTTGGTAGCTCTTCCACTAGCCTCTTCAAAGTTCAAGGGCTTCCCTGCCAAAACTGTAAGACCATGCACGTGATTGTGCCGAGGAGACAGGGTGTCTCTCAGTTTTTTCTAGGGCATTTCCATGCCGCTTGTGTGTACTTAATACACACTACCCAGTAAAATGAATCCCTGCCAGTTTTCTGTTACAGCTGCCTCTGGAAGAGAAACTTCATTTGTATGTATGATGTTTTCTCTACATTGGCTAAATGGCAGCAAATAAGATAAGGGATTGATCATCATTTTCTAAATGTTAGAAGAGCAGCATGGCACCAGCATAGTCATTTATGGCTCCGGGGCAAGTACGGCTGGAGGGTTGTGGCTGTACCAATGTGTCAGAGGGTCCGTCGTGATCATGGCAATGTAAACAAGCGAGGGGTTTTCCTCAAATCACCACCTCATTTCTATATTTTGATCAAAATAATTGTAGAGGAAAATTCCTTCTAAGCCATTTTTGAAGTAAAGCATTTGCAGTAGGAACGTATTTTAAGAATATTTATTCTAACTTTGATTTATATCTTTATGTATAAAGCAAGAAGAAGGAAAACTAAGATTGAAATAAATTTTATTGTAACTGACCTTATAAATAGTATTTCATTATAACAAGTATCATATCAAGTAATAAATAGTAATCAGAATTTTTCTCACAGGTCTTATTTCTTCAAAAATGTTGATTTTTTTGCTGCTCTATTTTTAAAATTCAACTAAGTTGCTAATTTAAGAGTGTGGTCTGAGTGCTCCTACATGAATTAGAGTTTTACTCCCAGGCTAATGTTAGAGTTGCCTGGGAGTAATGTTAATTTCTGTGAAATGTAAATTAACATTTCTCAGAGGAATGTTAATTTCCTGCGTCTTTTCCCCCCATTATATAATGAGTCAGTTACTTTAACCTAGAAAGAGGATGTTAGACCCCGCTTCTCCAAAGAGCCAAAGGTATACATTTGTGTATATCAAGAGCTTTGCCACCATCATTTCTGGGTTTGTTTTGGAGGGTGCAGCAGGGTCGGTGTGGACAGCGGCGTACAGGGGTTGGCCTGTGACCCAAAAGCAAGCAGGTCTTATCTGGAAGTCATCAGGTGATGCCAACACCGGCGACAATAAAAAAAAAGCCAAAGGGAATTAAATCAGGAACCAGAGAGCAACTGCTAGGGATCCAAATAAATTTGCAAGAGCAACTTTCTTGCATAGGACAGATATTTAGTAAATCCCTGCTCATGTTTCTCAAGGTTTTCTGATCACAATTTAGTAAGAAATATATTTTAAACCATAGCCTAACACACACTCACTTGCAGCCCTCATTGTGTCTGAGTTTCAGAAAGATCCCTGCCCTCGCCATGGGTGAGGCACTCTGATGTTTTCAGTTCTCTTAGGTTCTATTCTATTTATTTATTTAAAGATGCTCGCAGGAGATGTACGAAACCCGATTTCATGATCTGCTAATTGATAGAAGTCCATAGCTTCAAATATACTGCTTTGGAGACTGGGGTGATGGGATGAAGAGAGTAGGGAAAAAAAACTGGAGGTGTGTTTTCTGATGTTAGGGAAATTGAAATCCCCTTAGGAAGTTAGAACGTAACACGTGAAACAACAAAAAAACACATTTAGAGGAGGGTAAATCAAAACAAACACATTAACAGGCAAGTCAGTATTAATACAAGTTACTTATAGATGTGTCGACTTGAGAGGTGAATAGTTAAGCTCAATGATGAGAGGATTCCTGGGAAAAATAACTGGAAAGCAGCTTTTGAGTGACACGAGTTGATGGGAAGTTCAGCAATGGAAACAGCCCTGAGGATGTCTCAGTGAGCTCTGACAGTGTGTGGCTCTCTGCTAGGGTGTGTTCAGTATGGAGGGATGAAGAAATTAACTTAGGAGAGGGGAGCTAGATGGAAGCTTTCCATACTTTAGCCTCAAAGACATTAGAAAAAGCTGCCTTTTTTTTCTTTCAATTTTTATTTTATTTTATTTTATTTTATTTTATTTTATTTTAATTGTTCAAGTACAGTTTTCTGCCTTTTATTCCCACCCCTTAAGCCCTCCCCACCTCCCTCCCATTTCCACGTCCCCATTTCCACGTCCCCCCATTGTTTTTGTCCATGTGGCCTTTATACTTGTTCCTGCAAACCCTTCCCCTTTTTCCCTGAAATTCCCTCCCCTCTCCTCTCTGGTGACTGTCAGCCTGTTCTCTATTCCAGTGTCTTTGGTTATATTTTGCTTGTTTGTTTTTTTGTTGTTGTTGATTAGGTTTTTCTTAAAGGTGAGATCATATGGTATTTGTTTTTCACTGCCTGGCTTATTTCACTTAGCATAATACTCTCCAGTTCCATCCATGCTGTCACAAAGGGTAGGAGCTCCTTCTTTCTTTCTGCTGCATAGCATTCCATTGTGTAAATGTACCATAATTTTTTGATCCATTCATTTACTGATAGGTACCTAGGTTGCTTCCAACACTTGGCTATTGTAAATTGTGCTGCTATGAACATTGGGGTGCATAGGTTCTTTTGGATTGGCATTTCAGGGTTCTTAGGGTATAATCCTAGCAGTGGAATTGCTGGGTCAAAAGGCAGACCCATTTTTAGTTTTCGGAGGAAATACCATACTGTTTTTCACAGTGCTTGTACCAGTCTGCAATCCCACCAATTGTGCACTAGGGTTCCCTAGAAAACTGCCTTTGCCTGTAAATGGCACAATGCAATTGTGTTTAAGTTTATTCTTGTGACCTTGTTGAGACAGGATACATTGCCATTGGACCTCATGGAGACAAAGGAGATTGTTGTTGTAACCTAGAGAACCTGAGAAACCTGAGATTAGAACCTGATCTAATGTCACAGAGGTGAAAATGGACACAGGGAAGGATCCAGAGGACTTGAGGATGCACTGGCTCCTGTTAATCAGTTTTGTGATGTGTCTTCTTGGTATGAGAGACTAATGCTGGGTGTGACCCAAAAGCGAGTAAAGGGACTGGTTGTCCACAGTCTCCTGTTGCTCTGCCAAGGCACTGTTTTCCTCCAGCTGACCCTGATTTACCAGTGTTCACTGTAACTGGGTTAAACCACAAACTTCAAACTCATTCAAGACTTAACACCTGGTAGGATGGGACAATAACCTTTTATCAGCCTCCCTCTGACCTCTGAAAAGCTATGTGTGCATTTAGGAAATCTGCCAGCTCCTTGCAAAACTGGACCTAGATCCTGCAATGTAATGAAAGAAAAGAGATTTTTCATATGGTCAGGGGAGAGCTGGACCTCAGATCCCTGCCTTCTCCTTCTAGAGATTCAGCTTTCCCTTGAGGATCTCAATTGCCCCTGCTCCTTTTTCTTCTGGGGTCAATGTTTTTTACCTCTCCTGCCTGGGAAGATCTAGGCCTGATCTCATTAAGGGAGCTTGATAGCAGATTTAGGTGTAAGAACCCATTACCATCAAGCATGCCGTGCCTCAGAACCAACAAGTGAGTGCATAAAGGGCAGCTGGCATGGAGTGCTCAGCCCCCACTTGGCACTCATGCACACACTGCCCCCACTGTTCACTGATTAAAGTGCTTGTGCGTTGATCTCTCCCTTAACTAGCTGATAAAGCCCCTTCCTCATCTTGATGGTGCCTTACTAGTAACATGCAGTGACTTGCATTGATGTTATAAACTAACAGCCCAAAAGGTTGAAGCTAAAATTTATGTGTTTTATTTAGGAGAATAATTAAATCAATTACTAGAAATTAGTTTGTTTATCAGATTAGCAGAAATTTGTTATGTGGCGCTGGACTATCTTGGAGGCATGGTGACTGTCAAAGGGGAGACCTTGGGAAGGTGCCAGGGGGCCTCAGAGAGCCCAATGAAAGGAAGTTCTGTACATAAACAGAAGCAAAGCACTGAAGTCAAGCTTCGTCTGCTTGGTACCTTAGCTCAATTTTTCTGCTTACATCACTGCACATTTACTAAATGCTGTCTTCTCCACTTTTGTTTATGGTGCACTTCCTCAATATCCCAAAGAGAGTGCAAATAGAACATTGCTTTTCAAGGCTACACACTGGGCTGTCTTGCCTTCTCCAGTCCATAGCATTGGCACACTGATGCTCAAGAACTGTGTGCTTGTGTCTGGGAAAATACATAAAACTCCATGCAGTGAGGGAGTGTCTCTGTTTTGCTCACTTTATCTGTAGCCTAGCATACACTAGTTTCCATGAGTATTTTTGTAAGAATAAATATACTCTGCCATCTGTGAATTCCATCCCCCCCTCCACACACGTTATCCTCCCTTTCAGGTCTGGGCCAACCATCATCTCTGACAACTTCAACTCCCACTTTCTTGTGTTCATCATAGCTGTAAGTATACAAGGAAACATTAACTTTTTCAGTTAAAATTCTGCATCTCTAAATGACTTTCATACTTGTGATCAGCTCTAGAGCTAGGGCTGGTTGAACCTGACCACAGATTGCCAGTCGCGTTAGATGGTTCAGTAGTATCGACTCCTTGTTGAAGCCGTACGTTAAATAACCTTTGTATGTCAGTATAGAGGATGATGCATGTAGGAACTCCAAGTTTCTTTCTTAGTCATTCACAGTCTTTTTTCAGGGTCGTTGTCGGATAATTGCTCAGATGAACTGTGAAGAAATATCTGTATGTTCCTGCGTAATGAAGACTGGTTCCTCCACCCTGAAAAACGCCCATGCTCTTCTTCGACCGGGAGGACGTCTTGATGTAACTGGAAGAATTTTGGGAAGTAAGATTGTTTCTTCTGCTAATGTTGCACAAACATTGGAATTTCTCTCTGAGTTGCAATCTACTGGTTCTGGATCCACACCTGCCATATTATGTTTATTTTTGTTAATTATGTGAAATATTTTTTGACATAAGAAAGAAGGAAAAATTAAAACGAGCATTTTCTTTTTCATTAAATATTCTTCTACAGCACCATTGTAAAGAAGTTCCTAGTGCTGCATCTAATGAATGCTTTTAATGCAAATAAGTTAAAGTAGAATTTACAACAACAAAATTCCTGTTCTTATTTAAGCAGCCACGGTTTCTCCCAGGACTTCATTCTTAACTGCTAGGAAAAAAATGCTAGACACAAAGAAACCTCCACTCCAGGTAAGATAAATGCTTTAAATTTGACGTGTCGCTGAAGATCTGAATCTTAGGTTCTTTTTTTCTCTAAAATACTGAAGATCTTTCTTCCAGGGATTGCAGAGTAAAGACATAGGAAGATCTCTGTTGTTTGGCGCTTATCGAGGGAGCACCCCAAATTCCTGTGTTCATTTCTTTAAAGTCTCAGATGGTAACTCAGATGTCAAACTGATCACTTACTCTTTCTGGAAGTTTTTAGGATGAGAAATCCACTCTTTCTCTCTGATATAGGGTAGCCTAGCAAGCGAGACAAGATAAATAGCAAGACTTTCTAGGCTCTTCCTTGATTATACTTAATAATGGTCTTGATTATACTTGACTTACAAGCCTACATTCACAGTCACTTGTTATGCAGTTAGTCTTCTCTGAAACCAGGACGCAAGTATAAGTAAGACCCAATCTTGTAAGGAAAAGAGCTTTCAATCTCCATAGGCAAAGTAGATGATTTGTTAATGCTTTTGAAGAGTGTGAATTATTTGTAAATAATATTTGTGAGTTTTTTAAATATAATTTATTATTAGACACATCTATGGCACACATGGCCTGGCCTGCTCCTTGCAGCCTGTCCTGCTTCTTTTGTCTTGAGGTCCTGTGTCTAGAACTTTCGTTTGCTCCTGTGTTTGAAAGTCCTTAGTAACAAATTACTGAAAAGAAATGTTTGATAACTGCCAACAGACCATTGTATTTGATATCTACGTTGATAACCATCCGCTTGTTGCCTTCCTTCATGTCCCACAAGAACACACTCTCTTTCAGGGGAGGATCTGACTGACAGATCCTCCGTTGATGGCTGTCCTGTCAGCTGTTCTAAGGTTGATGGCTCCCCACTCAAACAGGGTTTTCTGTGCTCCCAGCACGATCAGCTACTGCTTATGTCTTTCACTGATCCATCAGGTATTTCCTGAGCATCTATCCTAGGGTGCTGCTGCCCTCTGCTTTTGGTACCACGTAGCTTGGGCCCACTGCATGTCCCTGACTTTCTACAAGTCACAGGATTTTTTATTATTTTTGCTTTTGTTTTTAGAAAGTGTGTTTTATTGTTTGTTTGCTTTTGTTTTTTGTAACAGTATTGTATTTTCTGTTGAGTAAATTCTTTGTAAGAAGGTTTTGGTTTGGTCTTTAATTATTCAGATGAACCTGAGAGTTCTTCCGTGCTCAACTGATAGGCACAGCTCTCTCCAAATTCACAGAAAAGGGACAGCTCAGAAAGGCCATCCACAAACTTCTTTAGCAACTTCTGGGCAAAATAAACTGATGAACAAAACAGAAACAGAGGTGTGGGTATGTGGAACAGACCGACGGCTGCCAGAGGGGAGGGTGGTAGTTTGGATAATTGTTCCAGTGCTGTCCTGGATACATTAGAGATTCTGCCTGGTACTTGGACTAATAGGAAAGTCAGGCAACTCAGGTTTAATTGAATGTGCTTTGTCTTCATTTGATGGAACTAAGGAAAATTATAAGCATTAAAAAATTTAAATCACTTTAATGAAGACAAAGTAATTTCCTAAATTAATTAATATCATTTATTAACTACTATCAAACCCTTGTTAATTTAAGTAGAATGGTAAAGTTAAATAAGAAGATGGATGATTTCCTGAAGGAGATGAAACTGTGATTTAAACATTATTCTTAATTGGTTTAATGAACACTTACAGCATTGTGTAATTCAGCCAGGACGTGGAACTACAGGATGATGAAAAACCTCATACAGGTAGAGCATGATGGGAGCAGGAAACAGTGAGGATTATTTTCCAGAGAAGGACTGTAATCTAGTTTACTCTATTTCAGTGGTTATTAACTTTTGTTAGTTAGAAATTCAATATACATAAATCAACTAATATTTACTGAGTATCTCTTATATGCCAGACATTTAGGCATAGGAGCTGAGGAGTTATATGAGCAAAAATAGTTCCCTTTTGGAATCTGGTGAAAATGAGGGATCCTTCCAACAGAAAACATACAGTGTATGCATGCAAAACTGTGGGCCTTGGCTAAAAAAAAGATGGAAAGTCACTGTGTTCTGTTAACTCTTTCCTTTGTGTCTTTTATAGACTTGGTTTATTTCAGTTAACCAAAATGAGGATGAAGAGTAATCATTATTATTCATTATTATTTCCATTGCCATTTCAATTATGACAACTCGACTTGTGAGAAGTCTTTTGAATTAGCTCCTGTGAGATTTATGAGTGTTGCTGTGTGTACCAGAAATTTGTTCTTTTTCTATCACTGAGAATAGAATTTCATTGTATCAATATCCCACAATTTGTTTTTCTGTTTTTCCCTGATAGACATGTGTGCTATTTCCATTCTGAGGATATTATTAGTAAAACTGCTACAGACATTTTCGTGCCTTTTTGTGGATGTAAGCATTTATGTCTCTTTGATATTTGTGTTTATAGTGCAATTCCTGGGTCTTAGGGCAGGCAGATGCTTGCTTAACTTTCAGAGAAATTGCCAAGCGGATTTCCAATGTGGTTGTACAGTTTTACACTCCCTCCCGCAACGTGTAGGAGTTCCTGATGCTCCGCATCCTTGCCAAAATTGGCTACTGTTAATCTTTTAATTTTTGCTACTCCAATGGGTATGTGGTGACATCTTATTGAAATTTGAATTTGCATTTTTCCAATAACTAAAGATCTTGAGAACCTTTTCAGCACACTTTTAAAATATTTAGATATCTTTTATGAAGTGAGCATTCCAGTCTTTCACTCATTAAAAAAATTATTATCGATTTGCTCTTTATCTTTTCTATTAGCCTGTAGCTTGCCCTTTTACTTTAACAACAATGTATTCTCATGAAGCAATATTTTTAAATTTGATGAGATCTACTCTAATATTATTATTTTTTTAGAATTAATGTGTTTTGTATCCTAAGAAATTGTTGTGTACCCCAGTGGGTTTTTTTAAAGATTTTACTTCTCCGTTTTCAGAGAGAGAGGGAGAGAAACACCAACATGTGGCTGCCTCCCATGCAGCCCGCACTGGGGACCCGGTGGCAGCACAGGCATGAGTCCTGACTGGGAATCGAACTGGTGACCTTTCAGTTCATAGGCCAGTGCTCAGTCCACTGAACCACACCAGCCAGGGCTATCCCAGTGTTTTGAATACTCTTAACAGAGATAGAGATGAGAATGTATTTTTTTAAGATTATGACTTCACACTGATTTTTTTTTTAATTCTAGAGAGAGAGGAAAGGAGGGAGATAGAGAAACACTGATGTGAGAGAAACACCCGCCTGGGGACCGAACCAGCAACCTAGGTGTGGCCTGACTGGGAATCAAACCCTCAACCTTTCGGTTTATGGGATGATGTTCCAGTGAAGCGAGCCACGCCAGCCAGGCCACACCTATTTTTAGTTTAATTTATTCTGTCATGTTTTGTGTTTATTTCTCATGTATCTTATTATTATCTAATTTTCTCATAGTAGGAACAACTAAGTTGTTCAACTGCATTTCATAACATAAGCTTTTATTTGGAAAGAAAAATGTCTTGAACCTTAAATAAAAACACTCCACCAGACTTCATGGTATTTAAAATCAGTATCATCATCTTTTATGATTCCCGGCATGAGCATCATCGAAGCAGAATTGGTCGTTAGGGACAATCTGGGTTTTCTGGGACCTGAAACTTACATAGTTTAGGGAAAATTTTTTAAGGAAAAGAGTTTTTCAGCCCTTTCATCTGAATTGCCACATTTCAACATGTGTCAGATGTACCAAGATGCAATCTGGTACGTTGAGGTCCAGAGATACGCAAGTTGCTCTCAGAAGCACTCACTGTTTGTGTGTTGCTGTAAATTTGTACTTATAGAAATTGTGAAAATGTCTGTTTTGTTGGAGTCTCATAAAAATACATGAGCCCAGGCTGGTGTGGCTCAGTTGTTTAGAGCATTGATTGCTCTGTAAACCAAAAGGCTGGGGGTTTGATTCCTGGTCAAGGCACATACCTAAGTTACCGGTTCAATCCCTGGTTGGGAAGCATATGGGGAGCAACCAATAGATATTTCTCTCTCTTTCTCAGATCAATAAACATATTTTTTTAAAAAATACATGAGACATGTTCATAGTTCTATACAATATAGAGCTTATTGTTGACAAAATAGAAATTTCCTTTTGAGTAGCAGACAATGAGGTCAAATCTTCAACTTACAATTTTACAAGTCTGATGCTTGGAATAATTCTCCATAGAGCAGCTTCTGGCTTTTCTCCCTATATTCATAACATAACATAGCCAGCATCCCCCATCTCCATGTCATGATACCAGATGAGTCACTGAGTGGGCACTTAAACTGTTCATGGAAGACAGTGTTCTCTGGGAGGCTACCAGTAACCTAGTTACGTAGGGAAGTAACTGACCACGACATCGGTACATCCCAGTAAATCCAAGGAAAGTGTATCTCCAGCTCACCCTTCTCCTACCTGGATCTTCAAAAACACTTTCTGGCCACTCCAGTGCCACCCAACAAATTTGAAAATATGATGGAGAGAAACTATTAGTGGGAAGAAGAAGCTATCTTAAATAATTATAATTAAAATACATAACATTTACAAAAATAGAAGTACTTGTGAATATCTGGACCCTCTTCTAGACCTTGGAAAAGGCCTGTGCAAGGGAAATGCTTTAAAGCTTAAGATTCATTATTTCACAGTAAATCTGCTTCTCCAGATTATTATTTACTCCATGGAATAAATCAAATGCATAAAGTGAAAAGATTTTTAGAACTTTTATAATTTTTGTAAGCATACTTTTAAAAGCATAAATATTGCTATAAATTGTTGGAGAGTATGCTTAGCAAGTTATAAAATATATTGAATATTTCAAGTTTGACATTTTCAAGGGGTGAGTCAAGGCAGAAATTTGGGATTCTAAGGAATGAGCTCTTGAGTAGTTAAACTAGTTTAACCAGCACTTTTAAGTTGATAAAAATGATAGATCTTATTTGTACATCCTAAATGTATTATAATGCCCACATGTGACTTCCACTTTATCCTATTTAATTAAAGAAAATTATTTATGCACTAAGATCATTGCCTGCCATAAAGAAAAATGTTAAGTATGTTAGTTACATCCTCTTAGCTTCTAATTAAATTTAACAAAGATGTCAGTTGCATACTATTATGCCCAAGTTATGCTAGATTGAGTAATTAAGAAAATATCTTTTTTATTTATTTAAGATAAATATATATGTGTGTGTGTATATATATATATATATATATATATAATTCATGGTTTGAAAAAATGGGAAGGAGTAGTATTTAATCCAACAAATGCAAATTTACATTTCAGGCTATAACAGGCAGGGATGTAAATATATATATATAAAACATTGTCTCTGTCCTTGAGAAGTTTACACTTTGCTGCCACAGTTTGACAGTAAAATCATGTGTAAATAAGTGCTCTGTTGTCTTATGAATATGGATGGTAGTTAGCTAGCCCTTTAGGAAAAGGCAGCCATGTGACCTGGAGTGGTCAGGTAGAATGTGAACCAAGTCTTAATGAATGAACAAGGTTTGGATAAGCAATAAAAAAAGCTTCCTGGAAGAGTAAATGCTTTTTTGTTGACAAGCAGAGCAGGGCATTTTTTTTTACGTTTAAGTGTGATCAGTTTTTTTTTAATGTTTTAATGTAATTATTGTTCAAGTACAGTTTTCTCTCTTTTACTCCCAATCCAGCCCCCCACAGTGCTCCCCACCTCCCTCCCATTTCCACCCCTTTTAGTTGTTGTCCATGTGTCCTTTATACTAGTTCCTGTAAATCCCTCCCCTTTTCCCCTGAAATTCTCTCTCCTCTCCCCTCTGGTCACTGTCCCCCTGTTCTCTATTTCAGTGTCTTTGTTTTTATTTTGCTTGCTTGTTTGTTTTTGTTGCTAGCTTCCTGTTAAAGGTGAGATCATATGGTATTTGTCTTTCAACACCTGGCTTATTTCACTCAGTATAATGCTTTCCAGTCCCATCCATGATGTTGCAAAGATTTGCCAAACAGATTTTGGTACTTGCTGATACTCTTTTAAGTTGCTTATAGAACTATTCCTCAAGAGGTGTTTGGCTCAAATCTCCTTTAGAAATTCAGATGACTCAGAATAAGGAAGACAATCTTGAAAAAGAAGAACAAAGTGGGTCAAGGTTGTGCTTAAGCCTTGGTAGCCAGTTACATTTTTACCTTTTGCCATTGAATGTGCATAGCGTGGAGGCAGCTGTTCAATTCAGAGTTTGCTTCGTTGTTGTTTCACCATTGCAGCTGGGAGCTAGTAGCTTGGAGGTTGCTTCTCTGATTGCTCTTCAGAAGCGTTGAAAGAAAATCTTCTCCACCCAGAAAACTTCTCCGCAGACTTCTCCGCAGACATCGATTGACAGGTCTTCTTTCTTCCATCTCCTTTGTTTGTGTTTCAGATGACACCATTAGGCATCCTCAAAGTAATTTTTTAAATTTAATTTGTATTGTTCTTCAAGTACCGTTTTCTGCCTTTTCCTCAACCCCTCCCCTCCAGCCCAACCCTCCCTGCCTCCCTCCCCCATCTGCACCCCTCCTGGTTGTTGTCCATGTGTCCTTTATACTGGTTCCTGTAAACCCTTAACCCTTTTCTCCCATTATCCCCTCCCCTCTCCCCTCTGATCACTGTCAGCCCCTTCTCAATTTCAATGTCTTTGGCTCTACTTTGCTTGCTTGTTTGTTTTGTTGATTAGGTTCCTAATCAACAAAATTTATTAGTAACTTATATTAGGAACTTATGTTGGGACTTCTATTAGGAACCTAATCAACAAAATGAACAAGCAATCAAACTAATTTAAATTTCCTAAAACGATCTGTTGTGGGTTTGGGAGATCAGAGAAGTTTCCAACAAAAGAGGCAATGGGCAACACTCCTGCCTGCTGGGAATGTCTACAAGTTCATGTCATGGTCAGGGCCATCTTAGACTTTCAGTTTGACCTGTGGACCACGGTCAAGTTGTTGGAGATCCTGTTCAAAGGATAAACATCACATGATAGGAATTGACCTTTTAATATTAAAAAGAACCTTCCAGTTAGAACTAGTCATTTATCAGCTGCATCTGGACATGGAAGCTACACACGGACAGGCTGTTTTCACGTAATTGTTTGCAGTGCAGTTTATCTGTGAACCCCAAGCCTCAGAATCCCACCTCCACCATATATGAGGTTAAAATTCCTTGACCTCACCCCAGACCTAATGAATCTGAATTTGGTGGGAAAAGCTGGTGCCCAGGGATGTACAAGTTTCATAAATTCTCCAGATAATTCTTAGAACTCAGGTTTGGAAGCCACCATGCTAGTAAGTTGGAAATTATTATTTTCTAATTGTCTTGCTGAAAGGGTAGAGTCAAGACAGATCAACACAACTTAGTAGGGTGAACCCGACATCATTCTGCTGAAAAGAAAATGAGCTTCACCAGATCATTTGTTATAGTAAATAATTTGTGCAGTAACTTCATTTGAATATTTTCTTCCTAAATTTCTGTTCTTGAATTTATATTTGAGTGATTATGAAAACACAAATGATCTGTGGTGTTTCTGGTTATTTTAAACTGCTATTTAATGAAAAGTAATAGATGAAATCATTTGATCCTGTTCTTAATGTCGCAAAAGTGTACATTAGCTTACTTTAATTTATCATCAAAAGGAGACATAGTGTATAATAATTTCTATGACTTTAAACCACACCTCCCTGACCAAAAAACAAGAAAAGAAACTCTTCACACTATAAAACGTTTTAATTTGATGATCATTATTCCTATGTCCCTTTAATAAATTTTAATCTATTAAATTATCAATGCATTTTAATGGTAATAAATACATATAACATAAAACTACCATCTTAATCACGTCAGTGTACAGTTCAGTAGTATTAAATACATTCACATTGTTGAGTGACCAGTCTCCAGAACTTCATCTTCCCAAACTGAAACTCTGTCCCCCTTAAACAACGCCTCATCGCTCCCTCCTCTCAGGCCCTGGCAACCACCATTCTGCCCTCCGTTTCTCTGAATCTGACTACTCTAGACACCTCATGTAAGTGAATACATACAACTTGTCTTTTGGTGACCGGCTTGTTTCACTCAGCATATCATCCTCAAGGTTTTTCCACATAGTAGCATGTGTCAGAAATTGCTTTTCTTTAAAGAAGTGAAGAGCATTCCATTATATGCATACATACCACCTTTTGTTTGCTATTCATCCATCAGTGGACACTTGTGCTGCTTCTGCTTTTTGACTAGTGTGAATCATGCTGCTACGATCACGGCTACACAAGTGTCTCCACGAGACGCTGGAGTCACATCTTTTGGAAGTACGTCCAGAAGTGGAATTGTTGGATTATATGGTAGTTCTAGTTTAGAAATTTTGAGGAACCACAATTCTGTTTTCCACAGTGGCTGCAGCTTTTCCCACTCCCACCAGCACTACACAAGGGTTTCAGTTTCTTCACATTCTCTTCAGCACTTGCTACCTCCAAAGATCACCGATATTTTGATGTATTCTTTTTAGGGACTTTCATCAGCAACGTGTTTTGTTGAGATAAGAGTTCTGGAGCCAGGTGAAGTTTTTGTAAGTTTTCTGAGTTTATTATTTGATTTATTTATGTTTTACATTTCATAGATTTGTTTGTTACCTAAATACTTAGAGTTACATAGAATTCATGTTTTATCTATCTCACATGGTCTATAATATAGCTAATCATGACTTATATTGAATAAAAATAAAACCAAGCATTTGTATAGTGACTTATGTAGTGATTTACAGTTTAAGTAAGTCTTCTTCATGTTTTCTTATAATAACTTCATATTGTTTCTCTACAGCTGTAGCCTTTCTCAAATGCAAATCCGATCATTTCACTCTAATTTAAGGGATTTTAATAATTTCCCAATGTCCATAGAATAAAATTAAACCTCATGTGGCGAACCACCCTCTCTGGCCTCATCTCGTATTCCATCTCCCTCCCACTCTGCACCTTGGCCAACCGAAACTGCATGTATATAGCTTGCTGACCACCACACCATCTCATGCCTCTACATATTTGCTTACGTGGTTCCCTTTGGCTGAAACACCCTTCCCATATCACAGCCCTCCCACCATCAAACCCCGGGTTCACTGGGAAAACTTACTAATGTACTTTACTGAGACTTAGCTCAGTGCCGCCTTTTCCGTGATGCCTGTCTTCTCTCTCCCACGGGGCCCGTGAGTTGTCCTTCCCCTCTACCTCTCACCAAGTGGAAGTACCCTTTTCTTTCTGCCCTTGGCAGCCAGGACAGGTTTTCTTCATAGCACCCATCACATTTTACTACATTGTTTTATCTTTATCTCTGTCTCTCTTTTTAGAGTGTGGGCTCCTTGAGGGCAGAGTCTAACCCAGTTGAACTCTAACATGTCTCCAGTGACTGGCACTTAGCGGGTTCTCAATAAATGTACATTGAATGGATAATTGAGTAAAGAGATGCTTGCGTGGTGGATGGGTCAATAGATGGGTGAATGGGTGGGTGGGTGAATAGATGGCTGGATGGGGTAGGAGAGGTATTAATACTCCTACAAGATTCAAAGTGACTAAAAAAAACTGCCTAGGATTATACCACAGTAATTTGGGGGCTAAAAATCAAATTCAGGTCTTCTATTCCAATGCTTTTTTTTCTCTACATAGAGTTGCCTTCTAACTTTAAAGTTGTAATATTAAAAACATTGCAATAAGAGAACAATAATACATTTATTTAACTGATAGAGTTTTTAAATAGGTGGTAACATTAATCTGATTCACATTAATCAACCCATTTAATTTGGTTTCTGTTTCCTGATGCTCCTGTCCTATATCATTTATGAAATATTTCATTAAAATTTAACCAAGGCTCCATATCATCGTATTAATAAAGTCTTGATATTAATATCAATACACAAGAAGTTACAAACATGTGCAAAGTTTTTCTTCAGTGTGTACCTCACAATGATTGTTCTCCTCCCATTTGTCCTCTGGGTGCCCCTGTAGTGATGAAAATAGCATGGACATGGCACCAAGAGACATCGGCCTGCACTAGCTCCTGGGGACTGTCACTCCCTAGTTACAGGACATCATCCAAGTTACCTCGTCTATATGAACCTCGGTTTCCTCACCTACAAAATGAAAGTCATTATATCTCCTTCGTAGCATTGCTGCGAGGATTAAATGAGAAAATATATGCCCAGTGTCCAGCACATATTAAGTATGCAGAACATGTTAGTTTCCTCCTTATGTGAATTTAATTCATTTTTTAAAAAAGATTTTTTTTCTTTCAGAATGTGATTAGGTCAATTCAAAGAGCAGGACTTGTGTTCCAAACAAGACTTTCATTTCTTGAAGGCAAAGATCACATCTCATTTATCTTTCTCATAGTCGCTCACATACTTTGAATAAATATTTCCTGATTTCTAATAATTTCCATCAGACATGTACATAATACTTTTCTTTTTCTTTTTACTTTTTTATTAAAGGAGAGGAAAGCAGAGGGAGGGAGGGAAGTTGAGAGAGAAAGACAGAGACAGAGAGAAACATTGGAACACCGAAACATCGATGTGCTGTTCCACTATATTCGTGCACTCATTGGTTGCTTCTTGTATGTACCCTGACCAGAGATTGAACTTGCAACCTTGGCCTTTTGTGACGACTCTCTAACCAACTAAGCTACCCAGCTGGGGCCTATAATACTTCTAAGTAACTTTTATGGATTATCACTTACTGTATAGTTCAAAAGAAGAAATGCCTTCATTTCTAGAACTTCAGGAGGTCACCACTGAAGGAAGATGACCGATTATGGCCTTTGCATGTTGTCACAGTGCAATGTCTTCATGGATGGGGCTCAGGCGGAGAAGCAGAAACAAGCTCATTTGGCCTCACCTTTATCTGGTTGTATACACCGACTCCATTCTTTGTGAGCTCTGGAGGAATGAGGCTTAAGATTAAATTGTTTTTCTCAGAGCCCACTATTAGGATTCTAATATATATTGTATTTAATTTTTTGTTTTGCAAATATGTAATTAAAACAATCACATTAAATGAATAATTACATTTTATCTCATAGTCTGGACAACTATTAATTTGCTTTCCTGAATAAAAATTATTCATTCTCCTACAAGTCCCAGCTCAAGTCCCAGTATCCCCCAAAATACTAATTCATTTTTGCCATTAGGAAAATTTCTTAAAGCTTGACCAAAAATAGATTATGTGTCTTGGATGTGTTAAGTTTTAATTGGTGGTGTGGCTCATTCCTTATGAATACATGATTCTCAGCGTTATATTTATTTTAGAATCCTGTAGAT